TGTTCTTTGAGGAGTGGGAATTGTTTCCTGCTCTATCTTGCATGTCGCACATAAATACTGCGTACGCACATACACTCACCGTCATACAGTCACGTGTATGACCAAATACAGACCGGTAATAACACAGTTTTGTCAATGCGTTGTCATGGCACTCCAGGCCAGTGGTCTCACTGATGTCTGCCTATATGGAATATTGAGCGGGAAAGGAGTAGCTGTGTTGTTTATTACTGGCTACCTTATAGTATGGTGCTGTCAATAAGTCATCAAGCACAATAATGATCCAGAGAGGACAATCAAATGGCATAAAGACTTTTTTTTTCTATAGAAAAACATATATATGTGCTACATGCAAGGACTTCAAAATTCCAAATCATCCAAAGAGGCTTTCCGTCCACACAGTAATTTTATTCACCTTGAAATCGGAATGCTTTGCACAGCAACAAGTGTCCCACAGCCTGTGTGTGTGTATCTGTGTGTTTCAGGTGCGTTACCATAGCAATATTTCTCTCACTTCCCGTCCCTTTTTTGATTTTCTGTGTATGTGTTGCCACGGAAACTGGCATATTCTTTTTGCCCGTGGCTTTTTGCGCCGTTTGTCCCTTTGTCAGAAATAGAACAGAAACCACATGCTGCAGCGCACTGCATGTCAAAAGGGCATTAGTCATCTAACTGTATGGTGCCAGTCCAGTCAGCAAAGTCATTAATCTTTCCAGTGTAACATCTGTCAGATGTGAACACAAAGCAACAGCAACGACAACAAAACAAATGTTGAATCCCATGCTTAACAGAAGCTTTGGAGTAATAGATTTACATAACATTTTATATACATTCCATGCACTGGTGACACTTCACTATTTAGCATTTATGAACAGCATGTAAACATTTAATATTGGAATATGAATTTTATTGGAAATAAAATTGGATGTATTTAAACAGATGATGAGTAACAATATGGGAAATATAAAATGTATATTCATAAAAGAAGTTATAATTGTTGGCCAATTCTGTACATTATATAGCTTACCTTACAATGTTATGCACTTAAATCACTCTTTGCATTCTTTTACTCCTTGTGTCCAATCCTTTTCTTTCCTCCTTTTTCTTGCAAAACATATTCACCATTTACACTGACTCATTTCTGCTAATGCAAAATTGGATTAAGTGCAGCAAACTGGCAGAAAATATCATTTGTTAAACTTTGGATTATCTGATTATGATCTGTGCAGCCATTCCAGCAAACATCATCTGCTGGGGGTTTCGATAGTTCTAATACATACAGAGGAAAACAGATGATGGCAGTTGCGTAAAGGCTTAGCAACCGGCTATATTTTGGAGACAAACATTCAGAGTTAAAGGACTGTGACAGTAGCTGCATGGCAGATTTGTCTCTATACGGGCTATGCAAACAGTGTTACATCTCACTAAGCGTCCACGTCACACTGAGATCCACGATCGTGAATGTTCCAGAGGCATTCAGTGTCATGGTGCACTGCGGTGCAACGTAAGCGGTCTGCATGAGCAGTGAATGAATTTGGTCCAGTAACATGTGAACCAGTTCACCTGAATGGGCTCGGTAATGGAAATGTCATCCATGTGTGCTTTGTAGCTCATTAACTCTGATACAGCCAAACAGATTAACATTTACTATGGCATATAAAAGCAGCTGACCATCATTATCTCAAGAGTGAGAAAATTAGCTCTTGATCAGATGACTGTTACTAAATGTGAGCAGTAAGGATGCCTGGGGGAGGACGAAGAACAAACATTAATCTTTCTCTCTCAAAACGTTTTATCATGAACTCAAAATGACTTTTCACCGTGGCAATCAGCTTCTGTGTTTGTGTCTGCTGCTGTTAAGGCCAGGCTTGGATGTCTGACTAGGTAAACTTGGCCGTCGACTCTAAATGCTTGAAGGCCAAAATGGATCCCAAAGCAGCGTGTTTTTTTTTTTTTTTTTTTTTTGCTCCATTAAGTGGAGTGCTGATGTGGAAAAAGAGTTTATTTAAAGCTAAAATCTGTAGCTTTCCACACATCCTGCATCATGTTCCCCTTTCTTTTTTAGTTCTTTTCATCCATGTAAAGGCTTCTAAAACAATACTCACCCTCGTGTTTGAGCAGTTTTTTGTGTCTCTCCGTTTTGACAGAGGTTTCTTCTTCTTCTTCTTCAGTGCCATAGTTAGCACTGAGGACATTCTAGTCATGTGCTTTTTTGGGGGGAAATATGACTACTTTTATTTCCCTACAAGGATGTTATTACTGGCAGTGTGGAGAAGGTTTTAAAACAAGATTTAAATAATTTTTTAATAAAATAAAGAATAAAGGAACAACAAAACCAGAGATTGGGGATTTGGATATTCTTTTCAATCAGCTACCAAAAACACTGCTGACATTTTAATGTATGGAACTTTGACACGTGCAAAAGAGCTCTGCACAGAATTTATCTGCATTGTTAGCCAGAGAGCTATTACCCGGGGCAATGAGACTGAATTGTGGTGCATATAGACAACAAGCCCAACCGCAATAATTGTGCAGTCTTATCATCAAGCTGCACTCGACCATGCAGTGACATTTTAAGAAATGATTCTAAAGTTTTAGTGAAGAAATATATCAGAGATGACACAATAGTTGGAGATGGGCTGTGTCTTCCTGACCCCTTTACAGTATATAGACAACAAATGAAACATAACAATTAATACATACGTCATTTAACAAGAATCTTGGCTCTAGAATGTCTCGGTTTGTACATTTGTATTGGAGTCCCTGCAGGTCAGGCCAGGCTTTCAGCTCATTGTTGCCAGAGTCCAGCAGTGATACCAGGATTTAGTCTTCCCCCGTCGCTCTTCTGTCAGCATTCCACAGGTTCCATAGGTTGACACTTAAGAAGTGAAGCTCATCCATCCCCTTCAGAAACCCTGCTGGGCAGAACCAGCTCGGCCGAGGAGAGGCCTCTTATTTAACTTTTCCAACTGTTTGTCTTTTCTTTTGCAGCGCGTGTACGTGTATGTGTGTGTGTGTGTGTCTGTGCATGTGTTCGCCCCCCTCAAGCTGTGTGTGAGGTCAAGCGGGAGGGAGAAGGGTTTCCTCAGCCAGCGATAAGGAATGGCATACACAGACAAAAAAAACACACTCACAACAGCTGTGCTGGATAAAATGCTCTATTAAAGGGGGCAACATGCGACTTCTTTTTCACCGAACCTGTGACAGGCTCGTTTCACACACACACACACACACACACACACACACACACACACACACACACACACACACACACACACACATGCACACACTCAGGTGGCTCTCCAGGTTGCCTGTGTCCACATCTAGTTTTCCTCCCATGGCTGAATGATGGCTCTGTTGCTTCACTGCACTAAGTGGGGTCAAATAACAAGAGAGTTGTCAGCGGGAGGAATGACTTCGAGAAAATATTGTTGATAGAGGCCTAATCATGAAAAGCAAAGTTCTTGACATAAAGTCTTCACTTTGTCTCAGGGAAACCCATTCTTCTAGAAGACTCGAAGAGTAAACATCACTCAAGGGCCGACGTGATGAAATAAATTTTTTTCAAGATATAAACTGTGTTGTAAAATGGTTTCTCTCCACTTGCAGCAGAACAAAATCAAGATCATATAAACACAGACACATTAGAGTATACTTGTAAGCCCTCTGTCTGGATAAGGCATTAGATAAATTGCAGCCATGTCTCCTCTCCCCCCCTTTCTTAACCTCTCCCTCTTCCTGACCTCTTCTCTCAGTAGACACGGAGGAATGCATGACCAGAGATTCAGATGACTCAAATGCTCATCAAAGCCAGAGCGGCCTCTGGATTTCCAGCAATTCAATACAATTCACTTCAATTCAAGTCCACCTTGATCACAGATTAAACTAACGCTGCAAAGTTAACCTGTCTGTGGCTGAAGAGTGAGGGTGATGATGACTCAGACTGCTTTCTATATGCGATAGTAACCACATCTCCTCTGACACATATGCTATGCGTTCTTATTGCCAGTTTATGCGTGTGGAGGAGAGCATATTGCAAATCCATCAGCGCAATGACACTTCATGTCCTCACTTGCTCCTCAGAGAAAGACAGGACTTTTTCCTTCTGTTTATCTGCGTAGGGTATTTTACACATTAAGTTTGGCTTATGTCGTTAAAGTACATCATGCACATATGTTGTATTTTTCAGATGTTTCATAATTGTTCTTTCTGTTTTAGGATTGTAATTGTTGGTTGTACTAATGTAATCTACTCCCAAGCTCATCATCTATGAGAATCACATAAAAAAATACTTTTTTATTGCTCAAAGAATGCAGAGGCCAAGGGTTTACTCGGGTTTAGTCCAGGGAACCTTAATGTGCTATTGAAAATAAGGAAATTGGCCACAGTTTATTTTTACTTTTAAATTGAATGATTTCTGCCCTGATGAAAACCCTGTGAGTTTAAAACTGATCTGCACTTATAAAGCTTTTCGTGTGAATAAATAAAGGGTCTTAATACCTTTTCTTTTTCTACCTTTTCCTATAAATGTTTTCTTTTCATTCCAGAATCATAGACTGACTACAATACAATCAATAGTTTTATAATAATAATAAATAATTCTGGATCAAATGACTATGCGTATGAACCCTCATATGAACCCACTTTGAATTACCACCCGACTCTGCACTTCCCCTCCAGTTCTTTGGAACGTGCTTCTTTAAGCCCGCAACTTTTCTGTTTTGGTTGAGTCTCAGCGCTCTCATCAGTATCGTTTCCAGACACAGACAGCAGCACCAAGCATTGTTAGCGATTAGCTGGTGAACACATATCAATATTAGACTTATGACTTTAAATAAATGCTAATGCTGTACTGTATTTGCAGGATATGTAACATTAAGCCAACAACTGTTTCTGCTGTCCCCCAGTGGTCAAAAATCTGTTAATGCAGGATTAAGAAAATTTGCCGCTAACAGTGTTGTATGTTCTGATAGTCTTATTGTGTTAACTTTTGTCCACCTCAGGGGGATTTCACCTGGAGCGGCCTGTCGGGCCGGAGCGTGCGTCTGACGCCAGTTGCCATCCAGAGCCTGTCGGAGCTGGAGAGGGCCAGGCTGCAGGAAGTGGCCTACACCCGTTTACACCAGGACTATGATCTGGGATGTCAGATAACCATGCCAAAAGGTGGGAGTATGTGTGTTTTACGCATATTGGAGACCTGAGTTAAAGGGTTTTACATGATTTTTATGCTTGTTAGTTCCTGATGGACGGGATTTACTGCTTCAGCGTACTTCAGATAGCATCAGGCTTTCAAAACCCTGACATTTAAGTGACTGTTAACTGTGACAAAATACATCTGTGATTAACTCCGGAACTGTTATATGTCGCAAACACTTCTCATTTGATATTCTTAACCCAGGTTTGCTGTGTAAGCATGTGCAGCTACTTTCAAGTGTCCCATAAAGCAAATCCAGTGCTCGGTCCTCTGACCACATCCTCTTGTCATCCCTCAAGTGCATTTCAGGGAAGTCATGTATGGTCTATGTTTGGGGAAGTTGTGACAACACATGAATTTAGATGTAAACCATACTCCACATTGGGATCGGGTGCTTCCTGTTTGACGTGGTATCTGTTGACCCCTCTCCTCATAACGACACGCGACTCCCTTTCTGCTGCAGCTGAGGCTGGGCGCATTTACCCCCATGTACACTCACTATTAAAAAGTCCTAAATGTTCCAAAAGCAGGCTGTATTTGTCCTTGCAGCCCTATCTAAAAGCTAAACGACTGTATTTTAATCTTGTAAACCAAACTATTAAGTTAATAAGGGTTTAACAAAATTCGACAAATTAATCCAGATATAACAGAAATGGGCAGAGCATTGCACTAAAACTGGTGGTTTGTGTCCCACTGGGCCCGCCCATGCTAAAAATGTCTGCATGTGTCACTGTTTATAGATAGAAAAGAAAAATATACATAATCCCACTTGATTTAAAGCAAGCAAGTGGGCAAATTAATAACTTTCACAGATCAGATTGAATACTAATAGTGGAAAGTTATTCAAAAATGGGAATTATTTAAAGGAAATATCTAGTTTCATACAACTCGGTCCATTCTGAATCGATACCCCAGCAGCGATTTAGTGTTGGACCAGTAGTATTGGGAGCAGCAGAGACTGAATTATCCTGACTTTTAATCCCTAATAAACTCCAAAAAACGCCGACCAAGGTTGAGACAACCCGGATGACATCATCAGAGTTCTTTTCTCAGACAGAGAGAAAGTTCCCCCCAGAGCCACACAGGATATTATACAGCCATTGTCACATGTTGAGTCGAACTCTCCAGTATAAGCAGAATGAAATTCATGTAAGATTTCATTCTTTCATACTTATGTGGAAGAGAGAGCAAAGCCAAACAATAAAACTGTCCTTTGTAAACCTCCTTTGTAATGCATTAGACCGATTTTCTGGTTAAACCTTGACCTGCTGTTCTTGTGGTAGGTATGTGTGACCACGGTTTTCCTGTGCAGACATTTTGGGTGCGCTCACTTTCAGTTTTACCTTCAGCTAACATGATTTTATCACTGATGATTCCCACCCTGTAGCAGAGATATACTTTTTCTGCTTTCCTGTCCCAACCCCCCTTTGGGAACCACTTTCTTGCCCCACCAGACTTCATTATAGTGCTGTTCCTGTGTCTCCAGACCTCCAGACAATTACCTTTGGCTCAATATAATGTTATCATAATTGATAAACAGGATGGACAAAACTTCAAAAACAGACCCAAGTTGCTGTAAACCAGAACTTTACTTAAATGTTTTTAGAATAGGTCATCCCATGCTCACACAGATGCACATCATGCACAGCGTGCAGGATTGTTTCACTCCACTCCTATAGAGTGCAGTGGCCGCCATAGCAGCAGTATAGTGCAGCCAGTGGATTATCCAGGGCCTTGCATTCCAGCTGAAGGTTAAACCTCTCCCCACCATGATTTAATACGTACTTGTCTGTGTTGCTTATGAATTCCAGAGCCCCTAACGGCCGCCATGTGCTTGCTAGGGAAATATTTCAACTTGTGTGTAAGAGCGTGTGTGTGAGGGCTATTTCAGCACCGCTAATGTGGACTTTAAATCCCTGCCGTTTCTCATATTTATCCGAGTGCCGGGGGTCATGTTTCTTGAGTTTCTTCAACAACAAAAAAAAGATTAAAGAGAGGTAGAAGTGAGAGTGAGAGAAGGAGAGATGCGATGAGGGTGTGACGATACAGAGAAGAAGCAAAAGTTCATCAGACAGTTTCACAACTGGTTGGGAGTTGGACTGGGGAGGTTTGGAGGTTCGGGGGATTTCCGTACAGCTTTGGGAGCCATCTGTCAAAAATCCAAACCATTTCCTATCTCTGCTTCTCCCTCCTTACTCTCTCTCTCTCTCTCTCTCTCTCTCTCTCTCTCTCTCTGTCTCTCTCTCTCTCTCTCTCACTGCCCTCACTCTCCATCCCAACATCTGCTTTTTTCTCCCATGTCACACCCCAACCTCACTGTTTCCCACCTATTTTTCTCTAATACATGTTAAGATTTCACTTCTTGTCCTTCTGACTCCAAGCTGCACTTTTGCTGCAGTTGAAAGGACACGCAGGTTGCTCATATATCATTACAGCGGTAATAAATTGATTATTCAAACAGCAGCAATGTTGAACTTTTTCAGATTTGTCAGATGGTTGGACTCATGGGTAAACTGAACCTGCTGCCTGACGTAGCAGGCACCATTGAGCCTGTTGTGGAAGCTGGATAACATTTCCTAAGCCCCGACAGTGACATACTTGATACAGCAGAAGGGAACATCTGGGGGTTCAAACTGAGGTTGCTAAACCAGCACATCAAGGCAAAGACTCCGGTCCAAAATCTCAAATGATCGGGATGTGTAAAAGAGCGGGTTTTGGATACTAAAAAGCAAACAGCAGAGTCGCATTAAAAGGTTGCTGAGGTTTCAAGAACATCCTGGCCCCCGAGACTTACATGTGCCACGTTTTAGTCAGCAAATTCAGAAGTCATTCATCATGTTGACAGTGGCTTTCCTCCTTTCAGAGCACTCAAGTCCAAAACCTTGATGTGAAGCATTCACGTCCACACAAATGTCTTTTTTTAGAGCAACTGATGTGATTGCAATAACTCAAGTGCTGTTTGCATTTTTGCCCATTGGAGTACATCTTATTTGTCTAATTGTGTTATGCAAAGTACATTAGTAACCTTCCAAACCCTGTAGCCTAACATTGTGTTGCAAATTAGTCTGGAACCTCTCAGTTCATTTTCGAATTTACAAGGGGACCAAAATGCCTCTTTTCACAATTGGATAGACCTCATGCAATTGCAGATTCAAAAGAATGTGTACAGTCCTCCTGTCAAACTCACCCTATATTAGATAAACGGTTGCGATTGGCCCGACCAGATTCGGGTTGGGTGGAAATCTGTCTGTACGGGAGGGAGGCCAGAAGCATCCGCCAGAGCAAATAAAACATGAGCTCTGGTTCCCAGGCTGTAAGCCCTGTATATTGAGAGGAAATTTCTTTACATTGGTTGAAGTCATCTTTAATTCATCACGGCGATGCTAAAATGGTAAGATCCAAAATGTGTTTTTCATGCGCAACCAGACCAAGAAAGAATTTGGATTCCCATGTGTTGCACCGCAGTACAATATTTAACACTGAACACGTATTAGACAGTGTAGATAAGCAGTCTAAGGAATTTAATATGTTTTGATAGATATTTTTTCTGCTGACTAATGCTGGAGCTGACCCTGTCTGATGTTTCAGTTAAATGGATTTGAGTTCATAGACAGCTTTCCCCCTGCGGTTGATTTACGTCTGCATTCCTGACATAAGCTTATTAGATAATGAGCGAGATAAGATACAGCAGATATGGAAACCATTTGTTTCAGAAGATTTATTTTATTTTATTTTTTTCCCGCGCAGATGGACAGAAGAGGAAAAAGTCGCTGAGGAGGAAGTTGGACTCGCTTGCAAAAGAGAAGAGTAAAGACAAAGGTACGCCAAGTTCTTTTAACACACACACACACTCTCTCTCTCTCTCCCTTCTCTTTCAGCCTCTCTTTGTCACGACTCTTAACATCTCAGCTCTCCTGCCAGAGGACCAGTCTGTGGTCTCCGCCCCTCGGGCAGGTGAACAGCAAGGTTATGACAACACAGTTTCTGTTTACTGGGCTTTGACAGTTTATATTTAGCTTAAGTGAAGGGACTCCTTGTAAGGGGACTGGCTCTGAGAAGCAGCTACTCTGCTGCACTAAGCACAGCATATTTGGCAGAAAGAGAAAAGGATCTTAGTCAAAGGAGCCCAGTTACAGAGAAGGAGTAGGAGATAAAACGAGTCAGGCTTTTCTTGTCAAATTTGTGAGAGTGTGGGGGCTGATCCCACGTCTCGTTTACAATACACACACACACACGGGAATGTCAAAAATACACACACCAGTGCTGATTTTTGCTTAGCCTGCATCGTTTTCAAGTAAGTGACTAATACAGAATAGATGAGTAAGTAATGGTAATTGGCATTAATGTGATAGTCTGGGTTTAGAGGGATTTAGCAACTGCATTCTTGTGACTTCTGATGAGAACTTCATCATTCGAACTATCAGTGTTTTATGTGAATCACACCGATATACAGTATTTGTAATAAGATTTGTATGTCAGTTTCAGAATATCTCAAAAATGACATGATGCATTGCAAGTGTTACAGTACTGTATGTAACACTGTTTTAGGATACATTTTTGGGGAGCAGCTACTCCATCATGTAGGCTTTAAAACATGACTAAGCAACATTTTGAAAAAATCAAAAGGACACATTCTTTCTCTTACAAATAAAAACTTTAAGAACTGCTTAATTCAATGCACTCTCAGGGGTTTCGTTGCTACAACCTTATTTGGTCTGGTCCGACCAGTAGCTTATGGTGGCTAACTTTTGCTGACTTTATGACTCTTCTTTGTGCTTGTGCTACTGTGGCACTACATTGCAGCATTTACCAGTATTTTTATTACTGGTTGCTACAGTTGCTGCCGTTCAGGAAAGGTTACGGAGAATCAATAAAGCAATCGAGCTAAGCTATAGGGTGAAACAGTTCATAGGCATAAAAATCAGCCATGCATTCATGTGCAAGTAGGCAAAAATAGTATCCAAAAACCTAATTAACCTATGCATTTGCATTATTTATCATAATCAGTATTAAAACATGTGAGCATTGTTTGTTCATATTTTGGAGCAATACATTAATAAGTCAGCGCTATCAACTGTCTATATATATATTGGCAGGTTACGTCAGACAGAGAGAGTTTCATGATATATGCAACATTTATGTCAGGGTGGAGGTCAGAGTCTAAGTGGCTTTTCCTTCCACTACATGCTTTGCTCTACCCCTCCAGAGCAGATGGCTCAGACGTACCTGCAGTCTAACCTGCCAAACGGATTCTAGGTTTAATTTTCTCCCAGGGTTCCTGAATACCAGCCTTGCATTTCACTTTGAAGCAGGCTCAGCCTTTTCTCTGCAAGAGAGAAACAGAGAGAAAAGGAGAATGTTGCCTTCTTTGATGCAGCCTCAGTACTGTGAGCTGTTGTGAACAGACCTCAGTCAAACTGTATTTGCAAATAAGGTTTAATAGCTGTTATAATCTGCTTTGAGTGCCTTAAGGGTGACATTTTGCCTCAGATAGTATCAAGCAAGTTGTCAGTCAAAGCAACTATGTGCTAATTGGTCTCTTACATACTTTTTGGCACTTTCACTGTATTGTCCTGTGTGGTAAACTCCACCCATCTGGCACTTAAAAACACATTAAAACAAATGTTTTATGTTATTTATGACTTTCCTGAGGCTGTGGGAGACTTTCCTGCATGCACATTCAGCTTATATAAACACACTCCACGGTCATGAATAAGAAACAGCAAGAAACGGTGCTAAAAAAAATGACTTTTGTTCCTAAGGCCTGGAAAATGAAGATTTATGAAAATCTGACATGGCTTGATAAATGTGGTCTGGCCGTGGAAGCACTGTGAAGTGCTGTGCATTACGTTGGCAAAGCACTGTACATTATTCGATCCAGATTGTGTATATGTGCATGTGTGTGTGTGTGTGTGCGGGTTACATAAGTCCTGTTAACGCTGTGAGGCTGCAGAGCAAATTCGTTGTGTCACAGTGTTAGTGGTCATGTTGTTCACAAACCACAGCCCTCCACTTGTGGTTGTGGAATGCATTTTGCTTTCTCTCCCTCTGTTTTCCTTTGCCTCCCCCCCCCACCACACACACACACACACACACACACACACACACACACACACACACACACACACACACACACATATACTGAACAGCTGGACTGTTTTTTCTCAGCTGTTGGCTTAAGCTTTGGGATTCTGTATAATGGAATATATAGCCTGTGATGGCCCAGTATGACATAATTTCTCTCTGAAGTGAGCTCTGTGCATATCTTCAACAAGTCCTAAGCTAATTGCAATGGTTTGCGTCATCAGATTTGTGTATAAACTCAACTTAGAAAACGTCTCGTGCAACTTCTTGCCAAAGCAAACTCCACTCTGCCTCTCGTCATACTTTGCTGAAAATGGAACAAAGGAATAATATCTCACTAGATAACGTGCAAGCTGTTGCAAGCATATGTGTGAGTGCTGCGCAGCTTCTAAAACTGACCTACACAGAGAACATGACATTGCTTGTGGGTGAGCGGCATCAAAGTTATGTTATTTCGGGTCAAAGACACTACAATTAGTGGTCTGTCAAAGTCAGATCTATGCCAACTTTCTTTCTGTGATGTCTTATTTTGGAAAACAGATGTAGTACCGTAGTAGTGCTATAAGAGTTTTAACTGACATAAACATGTGCAGTGAGGCTTTTATTGCATGTAAAAGGCAAGCTCCAACAGACGTAATAAAGAGTTTCATTGGAGATGTGTTTGATGTTCCTGCTGAAAGTTCAAGAGCTATTTTTGGAAGTTCCTAATAGAGCTTTCTTTTCCTTTTTTCCTCTTGTGGTTAACTTTGTTGTTCATTTTTCATCTAAAATAAACTTTCATCCCCATCTTTTCCTTCCTTCTTTATCTCCCCCTTTTTCCCCCCAGAATGCATACCCCAGGCTTTCAGTATACCGCTCTCCCAAGTCATTGCTAACGACAGAACGCACAGGCAGCGTCAGGATGGCTATCGTCAGGACCCCCCACAGCGCGAGGAGCACAAGGACTCTTCTGACCTCGTCTCGTCCATTTTACAGGTCAGTTTATGTGTTTAAATATCTCTCTCTTTCAGTTGAGATAATTCTTTTTTTTAATGATTTCTTTAAGGACATGTCTGATATGTCTTTTTCTGCAAAAGGTATAATTTAAACATTAAAATCCTTAAAAAGGCGTTTTGTGTTCCTGCTGGACACAAGATGTCTCCTACTTCACTGTAAAGTCCATTCTCAGTGTGCACTGGTGGCTTCAAGTTTCTAAATCACACTTGTATAAGTTACATAGAACATACATTACATACATTCTGCACAAACATCATTCTGCACAGTGAAGAGAAACAGATTTTTGAGTGGAGGGGAACTTAGAACTGCCAGATCTAACCTTCATCATCTATTCTGTAGTTTGCCACCAAGCGGCCGTCCAATAAGGAGTTATCTAGCAGTAACTCCTCTTTGAGTTCGACATCGGAGACAGCCAATGAGTCAACGTCACCCAACACGCCGGAGGCCGCCCCACGAGCACGCAGGAGGGTGAGACAAAATGATATAATTGATCCCAGTCCAGTCCATACAGCCCAGGTGTTTGTGTTTTACTCAGTTGAATCTGTATGAGTGATATGCATGATTAACCTCCAGGGAGGCATGTCAGTGGACTCGATCACGGACCTGGACGATAACCAGTCCCGCCTGCTCGAGGCTCTGCAGCTCTCTCTGCCGGCCGAGACGCCGAGCAAAAAGGAGAAGCACCGGGACAAGAGGCTGAGCCTCAACCCCATCTACCGTCAGGTGCCCCGGGTGGTCGACAGCTGCTGTCAGCACATCGAGAAATACGGTGAGCAGCTTCTTCGCCACTGTAGCCAACATATACGCTCACCCAGTCTGTCAGTTGTCCTCTCTTACGACAATGACAGGTGCTGGAGACAGCTCTTTAAATACTTAGTCATTGAGTTTTTTTCGTTTTCCACTCAGGCTTGCAGACTGTGGGGATTTTCAGAGTGGGAAGTTCCAAGAAGAGGGTCCGACAGGTGAGTGCTCTTGAGCATTCCCTCATTTGGTGTTTTAATGGTGGCGATTTGCTCTGTATTGGAAGCATGATTTCACTACGTGTCATTTGTGCGCACAGATAAGGCACACAGCACCGTGGCACGTTTCCTAACAACAAATCAAAGCCTGATTTTGCAGAAAGTGAAATGGCATTTTTTTGTGCGAAAATGCTATTCACACATTCTTTTCCAACTGTAGCAACAAACAAAACCTCCTGTCTTAGAATAGACTGTGGTAGCCAACACCAAAATGTTGTTGTCCGTGGTGCCAAAGCTCCCTCTGTTGCATTGTATTAATGTAAACAGTCCCTTAATTCAAGAGGCTAACACACATGTACAAAGACATCCCTCTTGAATATAAATACATACGAAGTGATCCAATGCTGTATTTTTCATTCAAGCACATATATTCTTCCCAGCTCAATACACAACATACGGCATTAAGTTATTCTCCTTACTCCCACACCTTTCATAATCTGTTACCTTAGTGAATACACGGCAAAATAATACGTAAATCATAGGTCAATCAGTGTGGGCAGCTTGATTTTTACATTATCTTTTCTGTTGCATGTTTTTATAACACCACTTGTAGCAGTTACAGGGAACTGAAGACACTTATTGGTTGAGGTAGGGGAGGATATTTATTCATTATCAGCCACAAGCGCATTTCTTTGACCTTCAGGTAGATGTCCTAGTGGATGCGGGCGGCCTCGAATGGATAAAGTTATAAGAAATTATTACATTTCAATGAAATATAAGACCTTCAGGTAAAAAAAAGAGCACAGCATACCACAGCTCACAACCACATACCCAGTGAGTGAGGCCATCTTTTGTAGGAACTGAACAGAACATGAGATGAGATGCATTAGCACAGATTCACTTCCTCAGGTGGCCACGATTCTTTGATCACACCCTACGTTCACTTTTTAGTAAATAATCAGAGCAATGTGTTGCAAGGTTAGGAAAAAAAGAAAACCTCCTGAGCCATAGTACTCAATCAGTCTGTGTGCCAAAGGATATTTCTTTCCCCAAGAAAAACCTACAGATACCAAATATATATATTGAAATACGTCTAAATTGTGCCTATTTTGGGTCCTGGAGCCCTCTTTAACAGCTAAAAAAAGATACTTAACATTGTTCAACTTGATTTTTTTTGAGAATTGATAAATAACATGATTTTAAAGAGATGACATCTTTCAGAAATCTTTTGCCTGATGTTTCAAACACTCAAGCTGGTGTCATGGTTACAACTATGATGCATAAAATCAATTAAAGATACTTAAGGACGAAAGGAGTAAGCACTGTGTGGTTTATACGGCCTACTGTAGGAAGACACTTTTTCCTTCTACCTGCTTTTTTAATTTCATTTTTATTTATTCACTAACTCAGAATCAGCATTCACAAAAGGTTATTCCAGTTGTGAAAGGCAGTGCTGTGTTTGCCTTTGGAAAGGATTTCATGCTGTTGCTCTGGTCAGTAGAATGTGCACTATGGGACTACAATCATGAGACAATTTACTTTGACACTTGGACGGTTTATTTGAATTGATATGGCAAAGAGGTTAAATCATTTCTATTGGTTTCACTGTGTAATAAATTCCTTGAATCTGATCACTCTGTTCCCTTTGATAGAAATTACTTGGTAAAAATGAACTTTCTTTTAACCATTTACTCCATTTATACTATGATAATAGTAATGTGTTAATTGTGGTTAGATGGACCACTCTACCCCCGCGTATGTTTACAACACCTCCTCTTTATTATCAACTCACTAAATTAAATGGTTTGTATTCACACGTCTGTATACTATGTACGACAAGTGTAAATATCCATTTTACATTCTCTGCTGGTCTGTGTTGATACAATCCAATGTCAACATTTAGGCATTTGCCACCATTTGTAATGTGGCAGCTGGTATATAAGCGAACATGCTGTGCTGTTGACCCCTGTATATCCATCATCATGGCCAACAATAGACTTTCTAATTCCCTGGAAGTCATCCAAAGGTTAGATCATAGAGATGCATACTGGTAAAACTAGTTTGAACGCAGAGTCTACCAGGTCACTTGGAGGACCAACGGGAAGTGAGTGTGTGTGGGTGTGAGCGCTACCTAGAATATAATATCCATTGTTATGTGCGGAGGATGTTTCTGAATCCCCCTCTTCCTCTCTTTCTCCTCTGTCCTCTCTTTTCTTTTTGTCCCCCCCTTCAGCTACGCGAGGAGTTCGATCGTGGCGTCGACGTCCAGCTTGATGAGGAGCACAGCATTCACGATGTGGCCGCTCTGCTGAAGGAGTTCCTCAGGGACATGCCCGACCCTCTTCTAACCAAGGAGCTCTACACGGCCTTCATCAACACCACATGTGAGCCTCGTCTTCCCTTTTTCCCCTTCTTTGCCTTGACCTTGATCCTCCTTCCTTCTCCTTTCCCCATTTCTTCTTTTTCACCCAGTCCATCCTATCGTTTGTTGCAGTGTTGGATACAGATGAGCAGCACAATGTCACTCAGCTACTGGTCTACCTGCTCCCAGCATGCAACAGCGATACTCTCCACCGCCTGCTGGAGTTTCTGTCCACCGTGACCGACCACGCCCACGACCGGCAGGACAAAGACGGGCAGGAGGTGAGCGCCGGTTTAAATGCAGTAGCAAAACAAATAAAAACATGAGGATAAAGATCGTGTCCAGAATATCAAATGTAGTCGTGGTCAAACATGTGCAAACAGCTTACGGGCAGCTCACTGGCATTTAGCTTGCCTTGTGTTTCCACCTCATTGGGAGGAAATTACCAAAGAAGTGATAGGAATCAGTGTGTGTGGTTGGTATGTGCACACATTTCTCTGTGCCCGTCAGGCCTGAAACAGCACGAGCCGTCTGTTTACAGGTCTTGTTACTACTGCATGTGTGAAAAAAGTTGTATAAAGCGTTTAGTGGCTCCAGGGGGAGCTGTGTGAAATCTGATAAATTTCCCCAAATGATGTCACTCGAGGCAGCGACGACTGGGGTTGAAGTCCATAAGTGAGAATGAAAGGGTGTGAAGTTAGAGGGGGAGTGAGCTTCTACCATGACACTCCCAAATCTTTTTTTGAAACTGTCCATCGTGAGTCTGACAGTGTTCTAGGACAGAGATGCTCAAACTTTTTCCCTCGAGGGCCAAAAACTGAAACTTAACGGTGACCAAAAGTCAACACCTATTGTATTATTGAGATGCAAACTGGTACTAGTATCCCAAGTTCCCTCACTTGACTGACTACCTTGCTCAGATTAGGAAAAAACGATTTAGAATTCAGGGGTTGTACATATTTAAAGAGCATTTTACCTCACAAAAATTAAACGGCTTATAAAGCAGCTTGCTATAGAAACATGACAAATCAAATCTTAAGGCGGGCCAGCCGTGGCCCAGGGGCCCCACTTTGGGCAGACCTGTTCTAGGAGCTATGCTATGCTAAATCATACTCAAATTGATAATTCAGAAAATACAATAAGATCCCTAAATGTTACTACTGACTACCACATATAACTATTTATTACTTTCTAGAAGTGCATTTGTTTAAACCTCTAATAACAAATGATTTTGTATAATAATAATTATACTTATTAAATTATTAAACCATCTACAATTGTATCTCTCTTCAGTTAGGTGTCATACTCAATGTGCTTTATTCGGTCTACAGAAGATACCAGCACAGGCTGAAGTAGAAACTGTTCTGTTCTTGCGATAGCAGACATGAGGGGAGTAGAGGTCAGGATACAGGAAGTGACATCATGATCGGGGATCTGCATGGTTTAAATGATATTTCATTCTTTCCCAGTCCCACACCCACTTTATCCTTTAATTCGGAGTGTGTGTGTGTGTCAGTGGAGAAAGTTTGTTTTCGTGTCTTTGCATGTGTGTAATCTCACCATGTTGTGCAAAGGAGTGTGTGTGTTGATCAAGTGCGTATGTGTGAGAGAGAAGCAGGGTGTGTTTTGGCAAGTTTGTGCGCAGATGGAAGTGTGTTTTGTTGTCCCTGTGTGTACACATGAGAATGGACCCCTACTCTGATGTGTGTGTGTGTGTGTGTGTGTATGTATGTGTGTGTGTTTTTTCCCTTCACGACTCCATGGCTCCAGTATCTGTATCTGAGATCGTGACAGGAAGTCGGAGCGTTTCACACTCAGCCTAGAGCAACACATCAATTTTTTGGTCCACTTATGGCTCCCATCTCTCTTTTGGGACCGGGAGTGGAAAGCCAGGAAACTAGGGATGGAGGCAGAAAAATGAATTTGTACTAAAAATAAAAAGCTGACCGAGCTTTGAAGGGCTTATAACTTTGGATGCTAATTGTGTCACAGGATGTACATCATCCCATCATACCCAACCCTAGCAGAAACAGATTCAGCTGTCATACACTCCCAACGCCTTCAGTGTTAACAAACCCCATGTGCCCAAGTGACAAAAATAGTGAGGGATGAGATACAGAATGTTGGAGGTGGAGTTGAGACAATCTACATAAAAGGATGGATGGAGGATGGAGATGGGAACTGGAGGAGAAAAGGGGAGAGGAAATGTCTTCAAGGACCGTGTCATTTCAGCAAAACACTGTGATGTAATTTCTGCAGTGTACATTTTTTGGGTTTCTTTGACAATATTCTCCTAATAAGGGGGGAAAACGGTTCCTGATATCTCCAACAATGCAGAATGCGTGTGCAGAGGTGAAGAGCAAACTTACAGTTTTTTGGTACAAATTATTTTACTAGATCCTACTTTGCTATTACTTCTATATGAGATATGAGGAAAACATATCATTCTGGAAACTGCTTCTAAATGAAATGCTTGGCAGAAATGACATTTTCTCTGCTCCCAATTTTTTGTATAACATCCTTCTACTGGAGCAGCCCTCTCTGTCAGCTGGCTAATACTCACTGTTGTTATCCATCATTTTTTAACCATGCTAGCAGTGGCAATGTTGATCTGTCTTTGACACTTTGGCTCAGACTGAAATATCTCAACTGCCATGAAATTTTGTATAGAGTTTCATGGCCTATACCAGATGAACCCGAGTGATTTCGGTGATCCCTGCAGGGTGTCCGTGGGGGTCTTTAAAATTGAATAATATGAATAGGCCTTTAAATGTCTTAAATATGATTCAGACAAATTGTTGGTTTAATGAAGTTAACTTGCTTTTTCAAGTGTTTTAGGAAAAAATGTGTATTGATATTGCAGTAACAAGTATAAAACAAAACCAGCATGGAACCAATACCAATTTTCCAGTTTTTATGGACATAAAATATGTATTAAATTGCATTCATAGTTCATTTAACCAGTCAAAACCTGCTCTAACTTTTCATCTAGCACCACAAACAGGACAAAAGTGAAATATCTCAACATCTACTCAATGTATTGGAACTAAGTTATGTAAAGACTTTCATGGTTCCCAGAGGAGGTGTCCTAATCTCTTAAAGGGTCCTCTGACTTTTTCTCTAGGGCCACTATGAGGTTGACATTTGACATTTCAACAACTATTTGATGAATTTCCAAGACATGTATGATCCCCTCTGGAGGAATTGTAATAATTTTGACAAACCCCTTACTAAGTCAAAATTTTAATTTTGTCCAATACCTGCAAAACTAATGACCATCCAGTGCATCCAGATGTAATTGTCACATTTAAATACTTTTTTTCCTGTGGTTTTTAATTTGGTTGGGAAAACACATTTTCTTTGTATAAATATACTTTTATTTTAAATATTAATTGAGTTTCTTCTCCAAATACAGATCACAGGGAACAAGATGACATCTTTAAATCTGGCCACCATCTTTGGCCCCAACCTGCTCCACAAGCAGAAGAGCTCAGACAAGGAGTTCAGCGTCCAGAGCTCGGCCAGGGCCGAGGAGAGCACGGCCGTCATCGCCGTGCTGCAGAGGATGATCGCCAGCTACCAAACGCTCTTCATGGTCAGTCATTCAGCATGCGCTTTTCTAACTTTCATCCTCACTTCCTCCTCCGCTAAACACACACACAGTCTTACATTCACTCATGCACACTCTCCCTCTCACATTCTTGTGTAGGCTTAAAGTAAGACAATCCCTCCTGGCTTAAGAAGACAATGGTTGTGTCTTAGTTAATGAATATAGAGCTCTGAAGAGACAATAAAAAAGGAGGAAAGTGAGACAAAACAAACAGAGTGCAAGATGACAGATAGCTGAAGAGTGTTTTTGGTCTCATCATCATACAGGTCTGAATTCTTGTGAGTAGATATAACAAGAAAGTCTTGCCAATTAGCTGACAATGGCATCAAGAACTTACAACAAGATACTTGAACTTTTTCTTTCCAAAATAAAAGCAGAAAACTCAGGCATGAAATCCTTCATGAGGTGTCAGAAGAGGTCACAATTTCACACGGATCGCCGCCTCATCAGTTGCTTTTGTTCCCTCCTGTTCCCGGGATTCTCAAACAGTGCAGACAGGCAGTTCAGGTCATTTCGGGTCCGAAACCTCAAACCGTAATGTTTTGTAATCTGCCACTGCCGTTCCCCCTGAGGCTTACATTCCAGCAGTAAGCCAATGAAGACCTATTAATCGCATATAGTGAATTGGTACTGACTTGCTCAGTCTTGGTGAGTAAAAACAGATTTGTCAGCAGCTCAAGTTCTCTGAATGACATCTGAAAGTTGTTTCGTAACCTGATTATGTCTGAATCTTTACTTTCAAAGCATTATGAGGATGAGAGCCATTCGTAGGCAATGGGTTTTTGGGCAGCATTGTAATCCACGTGTTCGATGAGCATAAAATTCAGCGAATTACCTGAAGATCAGATTAAGAAGTGCACTGGAAACAAGACAGACATTCAACTGTCTCCTTGGTTCTTTCTGTTGTTCTCACACTGGGGCCCTGAACAAGCAGTAAACCACTGGTTTCTCGGTTTGAAGAGAGAAGAACAGGCTTAAAAAGTGAGAACTTTTAATGAGATCAGGAAGAAAAACATGCTGAAAGATGTTTGATTCCTGTTTTATCACATGGAACATACAGCCCCCCTCCCCCGGTCTGCCCCTCATAACAAACCAGGTGAGAAACGAGCTGAGGAGGATAAAGGCAACGAAGGCCACGGATCCTGATGACATTAGCTTAAGGCTTCTGAAGTCAATAAGTCAATAAACTGGACCGGTCAGACAACACAAAAGCACTTTGTAAGAAGGGTCAGAGCAGACTACATCTGCAGAGGTGACTCAGGTCGTTTGGAGTCCTACGGAGGACATTTTATGACTCTGTGGTGGCCATATTCTATGGAGTGGTCTGCTGGGGCAGCAGCATCTTGACGGCTGGCAGGAGGAGGCATGACAAGCTGATAAAGAAGGCCGGCTCTGTTCTTGGATGCCCCCTGTGACCCAGTGGAGGTGGTGGGAGAAGGGAGGATAATGACCAAATTATCCTCCATGATGGAGATCCCATGCAGGGCACACTGAAGGAACTGTGTATTTCCCTGATGTTTGTTCTTTGTACTGTCCCTTGCTGCTACACTTTCCCTGAATGTCCCCGTTGTGGGATAATAAAGGATTATTTTATTATCTTTCTTTTTATTTGAATAATTAACATAACATACTTTTTTTTAGGTGCCTCCTGATCTGCAAAATGAGGTTTTGATGAGTCTGCTGGAGACTGATCCAGATGTGGTGGACTACCTCCTGAGAAGAAAAGCATCACAGTGAGTTACATCCACGTACCCAATACGAGGCAGTCACATGCATCACATCTGCTGTATCACTCTCTGTCTGCCTCTGCCTGTTTCATCCATGTTCTTGCCTGTAATTTACCAACAGGAGTCCCGACCTGTTGCAGACAGAGGAGCCATTCACCCTGAGCGAGCGCCGCTCCTCCAGCGACTCCAACAAGGCGTCTAGCGGCGAGGTGTCCCCTTATGACAACAACTCGCCGGTCCTGAGTGAACGGAGAGGAGAACCAGGAAGCCCGGGCAGCGAGCGGCTCTGCCGTGTCCCAGAACAGTACACTCTGGTTGGGCAGGTGGCTGGCTGGAACAGAGAGCCTGGATCTGACACACTTTGGGGTACCAAAGGTGAACTGATGACTCTTAGTGACAGATTCTGTAGTTTTCTGTAGCAGATAACAGCACTTTTTCAGATTTTTTTTTACTGGGTATACAAAGAAATATTAAGAAGCAAGTCTGTTGGAGAAGAATTTGACCTCTCTTTTGCTTCTTTCAGACGCTATATCAGAGGAGCACGCTAACATTTGGGGGACGTGGCACACTACTCTGAAACCAGCACTCAAGGACCAACCTTACACAGGTAAACAGTTTTCAATCAGTCCAGGCCATCTGCAGAGTTTGTTCCCAGTGGTAAATGAGCCAGAGCAGTAAGTGCTTGCCTGCTGCTGGTTATTAACTATCAGGGAAGAGCAGAAACCTGAGGAACACTTCAAGTCAAGGACCAGCAGAGTACCTAAGCTAAAAAAAATCCCTGCAGTTTATGCGATTTTCATTGCTGATTGTCAGAGACCAGAGAAGTAATTTTTAATAGTTTAATTAGCAACTAATTTACACCTCTGATTCATGGGGAATGCATGGAACTACTTAACTTGCTGGGAGGACATAAAAATCATCAGCAGGATGCAACAGCTGCAGTAGTTTAGTGATCATGCAACTTGCAAATTCTGCAGAAAATGTATTTAATCCATGACAAATAATGCTAAGGAGGTTGATCTTAAATGTTTATAAATGTACATATTTGCATGAACAAAAAGGAGCAATTAATTATGTTTTTATTTTTTTATTAAAGATGCAAAAAAACCCTGCAAAAAATGTCTGTCAATGAAAGATGTTGGAGTGTTTCTGTGTACATTTACCTACTTGTGATGTGTGTATCCCTTGTTATTCATTAAATTATAATTAATTCGACTGATGTAGTTGATGTTCTGTTTCTAGGTTCCCACGGCAACATGTCAGAGGGAAGCTCCCGCAGCTCACAGGAAGGTCTCGACGGACTCCATGGCGATGGCAAGCAGCCAGCAACGCTACAACGGACTCTGACAGCGCCTGGCATCACCGAGTGCCGACCCCATCCGCCTGTCACCAGGGTTTGCACCAGCCCTCACGTGGAGGCGAGGCCACCGCGCCTGCAGCTCAGCATTAACCCCTCTGTGACGTCACACCTCAACAGCACGCAAGGCCTCCATCGAGGAAGCGGACACGGACCTAGCCCGACCTCCAGACCTCAAGGCGGGGTGAACACTATCGACGGTGGCCCTGCTATGCTCAACGACGGCCACTGCCCTCCCCCTTATAACGCCCATCATCGACTGGCTAGTTCCCAAAGTTCACCTCAGCTGGCAACGGCTCAGCGCCCCCCCCTGCAGCACGGGAGGCTGAGTGCGGCGCAGAGTAACTCGGCCTCAACGACCGAGGGCCAAATGGTGCCACAAAGCCCAGAGTGGCAGGACTGGCAGAGGGACCGGTGGCAGATCTGGCAGCTGCTGTCCTCGGACAATGCTGACGCGCTGCCGGAGACTCTGGTGTGATCTCAGACCACGAACTCCAGCTCAATCTCCGTAGAGATTCTGCTCTGCTAGCCTACCAATGGCATGATCCAACCCCTCCAATGACAATCACTCCTGTCCCCTACCTTCATTTCCCCAATGTGTCATGTTTCCTCCCAGCCTGCCTTTCATCCATGGATTCCCTTCCCATGAACCTTCTGTGCTTCTCCTGCATCATAGCGCCATGGCGTTGTTGTTTACGTGCGCAGCTGCTGCCTTATACAGACTTTTACATCCAAGAGCCACTAGTATTTCTTGTTTTTAGTATGGATGTTAAAAAGTTGCTTCTGGTTTCTAGCCCATGTTTTGTCCATTAAGAATTACCTCAAAAAAACGATCCTTTCACAACTCTTCATAACGTTACCATGACTATATTTTCTATTCAGAGTGAGTTCAGTCTTCATATCTCAATGGAGAACAGTAGGAAAACACTTTTCTTTAGTTTCTTATATTTTCATTTCATAATTTTTCTAATTTTTTTCAAACTTTGTCAGCATACAGACACTAAGATGTTCGTATTAGTAATTGCTGCTAAATGTAGAATGTTTTGTGTGCGTACTAGTAATGTAGTTCACCCGCATCTGACTAAAAAAGATCAAATGATGAATTACCTTTCAATGTCAAATTATGTTTGGCTGTATATATACAAACTGTTGACAAATATTCACGAACAAATATATATGTAAATTGACATAAGTATATAATTTGCTAAAAGTAAGTCAGCCCTTTAACTGGCAGTCTAAATGTTGGTGTTTGTCAGGCTGCTGTTTTTTGTCTCTAATATTGAATGTAAAATACTTCACTTATGGCAAAAAAAGCTTAGACCTAATTATAAAGCACTCGGCTGTAAGTTTGCTTATTTGTGCTCTTGCCGCCTGCTGCACTGCAGGACCAATGTGCCAAAGTATCTTTTTTTTTACTACAGGATATTTATCATACAGTTGTGTTCATTTCATCCAGTTGTTTGTTTCTGAAAAAGACTCAAGAGCTTGTGACATTGGCCGGAATTCCAGCAGTTTTCAGTGTAGGACTAAGGAAGCTCGTTGTTGACATGATTTTATCGTCAGGATCATATTTCCAACTATCCATGAAATGACTAAATCATACTTAATCAAACTTAAATTAAGATAAAGATTGGTAGCCCACATAATAAATGCCCAAAATGGTTTTTAATCATTTTAATTGTGTATACAAGTACGAAAATGTAACAAAAAGAAGGTATAAATGAGAGCCAGCGTTAGGATTGGATATCAGATATATGCCAAATTGTATTTTAAAATAATTCCCACCCTTGTGAAATCATATCTGCAAGGCTAGATGTGAAGAACTTAGAGGATCTGGAAAACAGTGTCACATGTGTAAATGTATCACAATTCGTTGTATAACATGTTTTCTCACATTGCGGATATTCCATATAGCAAATTCTGTCAATCTGGGCTCCTGAGATGATGATAAAAATATCTTATTTGAATGTATTATTTGAGCTAAATGTGGTTTCATCTTCATGGAACTTCATTTCCCATGTTCAAAATTCACTGTATATACTGGTATGAATTTCCACTAAAAGTATTCACTTTGCTAAGATCATAACCTGTTTCTCTACAACACAATACAGTATGATGACAATAGCAGCACATACAGATGAATGACTGAATATTCCAACTGGGTGCAGATTTATTGCCCACCTAAGAGGCTAGATTAATTTTAGGGATCATTAAATTAGCAAAACAATGAATGATTCTCATTGGTTCAACTGAGGTTCTGGAAAACAATGTTTGCTCATATATTTTCTCACTTCAAGTCCAGTGTTAATTCAGGTGGGGAATTAAGACACCCACGACCAACATTGTCCAAATCCTCTCAAATTTCACAGTCAAGTGGGTATTTGCTGGCAAATATTTCACATTTTCTCACGTTACGGTGTTATATTTGCTCTTCTGAAGCCACTTCAGCATTAATTCTGGAGACGCACTATGTATGATTTACTTGTCACATTTTCATGTGACTTTGAGAAGAGTCAGTGGAAGAGAGCCTCACAAGTGCGAGCAGTGGAAGGACTGTGGTAAGGCTTATGGTGCCATCTGTTGTCAGACCACGTGCACTGGCGTGTTGCTGCTTCCCACAGTTCACTGTTTCCATGGGATCCATCCGTGCGCCATGTGGAACCAATTAGCTTGTGATCATAAGCACCTTTTGTGAAAATGTGTAAATCTGCGTGAGGAAATAAATGTGCCATAGGTGTTGCTCTTAAAAGTTTCTCCATGCATTGCTCAAGGTTTTGTTAAATTTTTGTATTACTTTGTTTTCTGTCGAGTGTTGTAATATATAAATACAATATAACAATTTTTATTCAAGGGGGAAAATAAAAAAAAAAAAGCTGAGAGAATAATCCTAATGGTCCTAGATTTGTCTCCCCAAACTATGAAACTAAGACAAACTTAGTGTTTATTGTTGATATTTTTGGTGGGGTTTACTGGGTCCAAGTTGTAATGGAATGTCTGGTAATTGCTTTTGTACTGCGTGTCATCATCAATATGCTACAATGGAATTAAATATGATAAAGTTTACACCTGCTGTTGAAGTCAGTGCTTTGGAAAAAATGATTGACCCTGTTTGGAAAAACAGACTGTTCCTGTCTCCCCCTCCGTCTGTCTCTGTCTATGTTTGTGGGCGCGGCACTCCTCCCACTCTCTCGCCCCTTTGCCGGCTGCTCTCTCTCTCTCTCTCTCTCTCGGTGGGCCTGATTACCTGCTCACCTGTTTTTTTTCTTCTCCTCGTGTTGGCTCACATTAACATTGTCTGTCTAGGATCGTCACCAGCTATCCAGCCTCTCCTTCATCTGCCAGTCTGCCTCACCCATTCAGCTCCTGCTCAGCCTAGTTCTTCGTTGTGCCAGCTACTAAGCAGTGGAAACAGCTAGTCCTAAGATTTTATTTTGTTTTTTTAAATAGCCTCCCACTAGCATATACATTTGACCTAGAACAGCTTTAAATGCAACTTTCAGTGCCTTCAAAGCCACTACACACCAATAGTTCACAGACTAATATGTTTCTCACTCTGATTTGACCTTGTCTAATGCTGCAGTCAGACCCGATTTTGATTCCCAAATGTTTCTATGCGGAACAGAGAGTGAGACATTCACTTCTTGTCAAAAAGTTCACAAAGAGTTCAATCTGATTTCAGTTTGACGTGCATAATCGCCAGGCTATGCGATGTCTAGTCAGTTTGGGAGCGGGACAGTAGCAAATGTTAATAAGAGTAAAATATTTGTTAAATGCTGTTAAATACTGTTGTTAGCCTGCAAGCTCTGCAGTTTATGTTTACAACCCTGCCTGTGCTATCTCTTGTCCCATCCTGCCTTTGGCCACACCACGTGGGTAAATTTTTCCTCATGGATTTTGGTCTGACTTCAGCTTCAGGACTATGAGATCTTTTCTACCAACAGCGAACCAGCTTCGTGCCATTTCAAGCACCTAGTTTTATATTGTGGTGTATTTCAACCGACAATAAATTGGTTCGGAACCTGAAAAGTTGGTTCCCCACTGGAATCAAAATATAGCAGGTTTTCCTTGGGAACCAAAGTGGGGCCTCTGTTTATGATTACAATAGGTCCACTCAAAACTGGAGGAAACACAGACCCTTTAACAGAACTGTTAGAGCTAATTTGGTAGACAAACACTGTCATTGTCCTCTTTGTTTTGCTCTTGTTAGATCTGGACATCTTATACCATTATCATTCTTATTGGGCCATATAATTTGGTGATAGCATGTAACTCTCAGCGTAGTGCTACACAACTTTTCCCCTCAGCTAATCATTCAGGCCAATTGAAAACGCTGGTGGACACCCACTGTTAGAGCCTTTAAAGCAGAGTTTGTGCTCGCTTTTGGGGGTGCACTTTCATATGTGGCCCTGGGCATCCTCTGAGGTAGAGCTAGCACTTTCTGAACTCATCGTAGCAGGAAAAGCTCAGGTGGAACTAATAAAACTGACAATGTTATTAGTCCTGCTGTGTTTCCATGTTGGGTGTGTAAAAGCACACTATTATCAGATATTCTGACATCCCGGAGCCGACCTGTCCATCATCAATCACACAGTGCTCCAAGTGACTCAGATCACGTCTTTACTTTTGTCACACCCTTGAGCACGCTTGCTGCATTATTTATATGCTCCCTCACAGCCATACATGTTGATGTGGACATGTATTTAATAATAACCGCCTGAGCGTTCAGTGCTGCCCAACCATATTCAGAAAAAGATATCACAGCTGTTAGCTGGGTGTTAATGGTGCTTTTTATCTAATAAACCAAATGTCAGTGTTAGTCATCTTCAGTTGGCAGAGCATGTGCCAATCATTATTTCTACTGGAGAAGAATCTCTAGTTTGTAAATGAGCGGCGTGTTGAGTTCTTTGAGTCTTGTCCTAGCCACGTAGTTTCACATATTTTCTACAAAGCCACATGACACCATTTGCTTTTTAAGCCAAAAGATCTGTTAGGTACTTTTTGAAATCCCTAAAGAGCCCAGAGTTACCACAAGTCCTGGGTGTGTCTGGCTGCAGAACAGAGCTGGTTAGGGGATAGCTGGGACTTTTTTTGCTGGTGGGTGGCTTACCATTATTGTTTGTGTGGTGTGAGGTTACAGCAGTGTCATTTTTTCCCTTTGTGGTCCACTCAAGGATTCACAGAGCTCTCTTGCTGATGCCCTTACTCATACAGAGTGCACTGACTAATCAGGTTTTGCATCATAAAAGATAAATGGAACATTACTTTGCATGATGCTTTTCATTATGAATTGAAGAGGGATTTTTCTTTCTTTCTTAAATGTTGCATTCCAAACTGAAGGGGGAGCGCAAACTTGTACATTTTCAAACAACTAAAGTACTAACACTTGAAAAATGAGGATGTAAAGTACAGTGCTTCTGTGTGTGTGTGTGTCTCTAGTATTTTGGCAGCTTTCTGCTTCAAGAAGAGATCAAAGCCACATATAGAGACTGCTGATAGTTAGGAGGCAAGAGACAGAAAGGGGAGATTCAGCCATGAAGGCTCCTCAACCAGCCAGCAGAACAGTGACAAAAGCAACATAAGCCTGGAGGGCTGGGAGAAAGATGTCATTCTCACCCCATAACCCTGACGGCTGTGCCTCTGGGTTGAGTCGCAAGCACAAGCTGAGAAAAAAAAAAGCAACTCTGAGTCACTCAACTGTAAATGTCAAAGTGAGGCGTGAGCAGGCAGTTTCAAAGTCAAAAAACTTGAAGGCGCGGAGTGCAGAGGTTGAACTATAGTGCGTGAATCCCTTATTACACCTGAAAAATACACGACTGAGTGAAGTGGTGCAAAGAATAGAGGCGGTAGTCTAGTGAGCAATGGGAAAATGTCAGATAGTCACATGAGTCATGGCTCAAAAAGGCAGAAAAGTAAATGCAGGGCTCAGGCCAAAGTCTGGGAGCTCGTTTCATGTTACAGAGAAGATGATGTCTGACTGTTCTGTTTAGCATCTTAACAGGAAGGGGCGCGTGCTAATAAACACAAAAACTATTCTGGTACAGACGTGCATCATTTGATGTGCGGATCGCCCAGGATGGAGAAGGCGCCATTTGACCGGACCACTGAATGGTTTGATGAGCGTGATGCAAATATGACCATAAGTCAGCAGATATGAAGCCAGCTCAGCAGTCACGGGAAATTACGTAAATGTGCCTGAGGTGGCACTTTCCATGAATATCAAAACACCAAATAATAACTTCTTGTGGAAAAATGATGTCACAGTCCTGCAGGGGAACTCCAGAAATTGCAAGCCAAGGCCTCCTGTTTCTGTTTTGGTCTGTGTGGCTCATGGTGCACTATTAACTCTTATTAATGTGTTTTCTTGATTTTTTGGCATCTTAATGGAGTATCTTATTTATTCATTGTGCAACATCCTTGGTTAAATGTGTCTGTAATGCTGGGAAAACAAATCATCTGGAATACCTTTGTGCTTGATTTTCAAGGTTTTGGGTGTAATGTCACAATTGTACCACTAGAGGTCAGTCCAGAGCCTTGAATAGCTTTTTGAAGTAGGCACAAAGTTTGACATACTTTATCTCTCAAGCCCAAATGAACAAATTGTACTCTTTCTTCATTGCGTATCACCCAAACCACAGCTGATAATGAATGAATTAGACAAAACTAGTTATAGAGGGTGACAACCGGAGGTATGTCTAAATCTTAGAAGGGAGTAACGTGTGGTAATGTTGATGGTTTTGTGATGGAGAAAGGAAGGGGAAGGGGAATGGAGAAAAAAGAGAAAAGATTAAAAAGATTTCATGGCTTTTGGTTTCAATTCTCCTCGGCGCTGCCTGATAGCATATTAAATCACCTTACAGACCCCTAGAGAAGTGAAATTAACTGCTAGGAGACCATTAGACACGTTGGAAAAGGTAATGGATGAGCGTTTGGGCGTCTAACTCTGTGTGCGAGGGGACAGGAGGCCGAGAGCGTGTGTGACTGACAGAGGGGAGTGAGCTAATAATTGAAATAGAGATAATGTGCAGAATGAACACTTGCTTTCTCTCATTCCTCGCAGTGGACTTGGGGAATAATGAGAATAAAGTCGATTTAACCATTCTCTTACTCGCAGCTTATCAGAGCTCTGATCAACTCTGACTTAGTCTAACTCTGAAAAGTAATTAGAAGCTATTCTCGCGTCTTTTCGATCCACAAGAGCAACCCCGAGAACCTTTTTTATTAGTTGGGTTTCTTGTCTCTCTTTGTCAGCTACCTCTTCCCACTAAGCTCTACCACGGTTTATAAGAGGAAATGCAGTCTAGTGCAGCGTCCGTCCCTTCACAACACCAATTAAAGCTTTTTTGCCGTGTGCCAGTGTTGTTTGAAATGAGCATGTCATGTTCTGCTCAAGGAGGTTCTGATTAATTGTGATCAGTGAAGGCGCAGAGGCAGTTGGTTTCAGATACTGTACTCTTCTGTTTTTCTTTTGTCCCCTGTTTGACGGTTTCTGGACAGGAGCCTGATTTTAAATAGAATTTTGTGGACCATGACAACAAAACAAAGCTGCTTTATTTCAGTGGCTAATGACTTGGCCCGCAGTAACGTTATCCAGTTGGCCAAGCTAAAAGACAATTTGCCAGAAAAATACACATGCACAAATAGGTATGCATGAACTCATCCACACAGAGACACTTGTAATTGCCAGTACAAGAGTTCAGCCCCACTCCTTCAGGCGGTTACAAATTCATGCATGTCAGTAAACAAAATGTGGATTTCTGTTTGCTTTATCACATTTCGGAAGGGGGCGTGTGGGGTAGCGCACAGGCACAGCAATTTCAGCAGAGCATTCACAACGTTTTCCCATTTGCCCACACATGCCGAAACACACGGTCACACACACATCCTGAGAGGAATTTGTGCCCACAAGGTCCTCATTAGCAGGCACAGTCGGTTCATTCTCATCATGTGTTGCTTCATGCAGTCCAAAAAACTGGCCTGGAGGAGAGAAATGTTAGGGAACACGGAAAAGGTTCTCGACCTGAATTAACCCATCTGTAAATCATTGTTGAATAAATCACAGCACT